TTTGGTGAAAATAAGGACACCCATTGGCATCACTTCTTAGTTCAGGAGTCGGACCATATTTTTGACGTTCCTTTAAAGTAACTAGCAGACTTTTACTGCCTCTCTGCCCTTATAAGGTGGATGTCGATGCACATACACTATCTATTTGTATTTTATGTACATCGCAATGAAACTCCTTACTTTGCAGCATGAAAACTATTTGCTTTGCCGTATGGTTGGTACGTACACGGGAAATCTGTTGAACTTGGGAAGTTTTTAAGAGGTAAAGGCAGGTAAAGGCGGCAAGAACAGTGGTGTTATTGTAAAATGATATTCTTGGTAGGTTGCTACTGCTTAGACATTACAAAATGGTCTTTAATGTGCTGTAGGCCCAAAAAGTAATGGACTTTGGGTTTTTACTGCTAGAAGCACAACCATAGACAAACTTTCAAATCCGTTCACTTAAGTTCTATCAATGCCTTACACATGGCTTAGCATTTAGCAGCTGTTTTTGCTGCGATCCCGGAATGATTAAGCTACACTTCTTTTATCCACCTTTCCCGATTGGTTGATGGAGGTTAATCGAGTTGCTAACACCTTGAATGCTCCCCCTCTCTAATCACTGTCATTACAATTCGAAGTATGCACCAATCTGGAGTGACAATTGCATACAGGCCCTGTGACTAAGCCGCCGGATGGGTTGGTGGGTGGGTGACTTGGGTTTAAATTGTCTGTGCTCCCCAAGAATGGCTCGTTGCTGACTCATCCACGCGAATAGATCAGTTGTTAGATAGCAACATCCGCTAAGCAATCCTAGCCCATTGGTTATCCTGCCAATCAATCAATTGATATATGCGAACCGAAGCCGCAACATAAATCTCACTAATAGATATAGAGAGGGTTAGATGAATGAAAGGACACTAAGAAGACGAGAGGCTTATTGTTGAAAAGATGTTTGGCTAATCCAAAAATAGTGCATTTTAAGCCTCCTGCAGTAAACTTTTATACCTCTTTTAGCCTCCTTGTTTGTCAGCCTCCAGATAGATGGGTAGATGCAAATGATACAAACGCATTAGCTACAGTTGACTTTTTCGCAATGTTTAAGGAAGATTTCCATAAATGCAAAAAGGGAAAGTTGACAAAGCAATACTTTGGTGTGTTGAAAAGAAAGTGCAAATATTTGCAGTAAATGATCCGAAAACCACGGTCTTCCCTTCCCTTCTACACCAACCATCAAAAATTCCTTCATCACGAAAGAAAAAAAGGCAACTTCTGCTTTAAACTGAGATCAGTATTGCCTTAGATAGCCTTGCATCTACAAATCTCCCTTAGAAGTGCCTGATTATCGCACTGACTGTGTATTGGAAACAGGCAGGCTCGACCTCATGTAGCGAAGTTTCGTCGATTCGACGAGCAATCTTGACCATGAGATGCCCTAAACTCCTGCATATATGTTATGCTTAATAAATGTTGCTAAAAGAAAGGACACGATTCTGCTGCATAAAAATTCTGACGTCTTCTTTTGTCTGTGGGTGTGAGCCTACTCCACGGACTAAGATTAGCATACTGGCAGGTGGTTGGATCAGTAGACAGCAGGCGGAGTTGTTTACCACTCTGCAGACATGATATACAGTTTTTTGACAGGCAAACTACCACCATCCTCACCATCACCCCTTTTACCTTCATTTTTCACAATGCGATTACCTCTGCAACAGTAAATCACGGTGTTCCATTGCAGCGCAGTTGTCTGTTCATCATGGTTGCCTAGCACAAATTGTACTTCACCAACTGGCAACCACGATTTCACCTATCTGAATAGTTCACAAATAAAGAACAGCCAAATTTGCCCCTCGATATTGGCTATGAAAGAATAGATATCTAAAATGTCATCTGCTCCTACTAAACAGGGACCAATGCAACCAGTTCCTCATCCCTATCGTGTTAGTTTGCTAGGCAGTAAGCCTCAATGGATCCTCTCAAGTGAGTTGTACGGATGTCCGAGAGACAAACAAACGCCAGTGTCTTGAATGTCAAGAAGATTTTATGCAACGAATAATATCAAGTTGCCTATCCGACCCTTAAAAAGGAATAGCTAGTGGGATAGAAATGCGTCATATATGTTGATGCGTACAATAAGCCAAAAAGCCGATGAACGTGATGACTCGGAGTTGACGTGACACAAATGGGCATGTCTATTTGTTCAGTGCGCAGAGTAGGTGCAAGTGTCAGCAGTGGCCTCACAGCTACGACTAAATTGCTTGCAACAACCAATCCGGGCCATTGTCCATGTCAAGAAGGCACCCAGTTCAGATAAACACTAGGTGGGCAGAGATAAAATATCCCATAGCGTTTGTATTAAAAGCAGCCATGACCAAAGTGACGAATGAGAAGGCTTTGGCTCTTTGCCTTACCACCGTCGACGCGAAAAGGGCACTGTAGGCGGCAGAAGGTAGATGCATCGATGGATATAGGCAAAGATGAGTGGATGTCAGGACCACTCCGAGCCATCACATTCTTGGGCTCGTTGGCATATCGCTCATATCAACACATGTGTGACGCATTGCTAGGGCAGCAGCTATTCGTTTTCCACATCAAGTAGGCGCATCACGAATTTCTCCTCGTGGTTCGCTACCCGCACTCAGCTTCGCATCTGTCCTCCTGTGAAGGCGTCCCCTTATTGCCAGCAGTGGCTAGTCGACTGACCGATCGAGTTCCCAAATGGTTAACGATGTCGCGGTGACTAAATTCTCTCATGTACGCATATTTATAGTGTTTAACCGTAACCTAGGAGTGGTTATCTAGAGACCTAGAGCACACCTCTGCTCCATGCGAGCCAATGATGAGGGATGAAACAGGAGCACACAGCCATAAAACTTAGTAGATGAGTATTTGAGCAAAGCTGCAAGAAAAGTGTTTAAGCAAATAACTAAAAATGCAAAAATTTGATGAATTTTAGAACTGAAAAATCAGGAATGCACCGATTTCTTTACTAACCATCAAACCCCTGGGTGCATGTGGCGTCCTTTATTGCCGGATCCCATATGATAGCAATATGGACGCCTTTATTCTTCCGTTTGAGAGCAGAAGCTGTATTCTGTGCAAGGTCACGCTTCTCTTTATACCCCACCCCAACACAGACATAATGCATGGCGTCGGAGAATTGCCAGTAAATAATATGTGCACTTTTCCTCCCTACTCTCTTGTGTTTTTCATCACTTCTCATTATTAATCAATCTCTACTCCTTACAGCCCTTTTAGGAGGGTAAATAGGCTGTTAAGTCCTAATAAATCCTGCCTTTTTTCTATTCGAGAAGCGAATATAGGCGC